GCTTCCTCCACGGCTGCTTTTGTCACGTTCACATCCCCAATCCTGACCCCACAGTCCTTCCTAACGCCAGGCATCACCTCCTGAGTGTTCTAGAACAGGACCAGGGCAGACACCCTTCCTCCCGCCAGCGGCTTCCTCGGCACCCCCTCGGCACCCCCCACACACACTGAAAGAAGACCCCACCTGATGCTTCTTTTCTTCACCTTCTTTCAGTGCCCGGGATGGCGCCCAGGCAATCACACTCGCTCAGCCAGTGCTCTACCTCGGAGCTGCACCCCCTGCCCTGTCCCAAGCATTTTGAAGGGTGCATGACATTAAGCACATTTAGAACTCACAGCCACCTCCACCGTCCAGCTCCAGGCCTCTTTTCATCTTGCAGAATCACACCTGTTAAGCATACCTGGTGAAACTGTACTCGTTTGCTCCCGTTGGTGGCCTCTCTCCCTCTCAACTAGATCCTAAGCTCCTTTTGCCGTCAAACCCCCGTGTCACAACGGGAGGACTGTCCTCAACAGATTTGTTCTAACCAAACACTGTATCTCACACTTTTCTCAGTGAAGTCCAAGGAGAAAGGTCAAGTCTGAACAAAGCGCTGGCACAGAGGAAGAGCCGGCTCACGGTCGGGTTGAAAATAATCCCAGCGGAGCACTCTGCAGCCCAGAGGCGGCCCCAGCTCCCCCAGTGCCAAGTATCCCTTGGATTATTTTCCTGAATTAAGGGCAAATGATCAGTTTCCGTCAGGCATAAAACAAACTAACCACCAAACTTCACAAGTATTCTGGGTTCCCGCCACCTTGCAACCGTGGGGCCCCGCGGACTGTCTTCACCTCTGCTGTGGCCTCACGGGGACCTCAGTGCTGCCCGAGTCCTACGTCCCTGGTCCCACCTTACATACAGACTCTGAGCCCCGGGACAGGTGGGGTCTGTCCTGGAACCTTCCACATAATTCAGGACCCAGCGCGAAGCTTCAGTCCCCTCAGCAGCTCAGTCCACGGCTGATAGACGAAACCGGGACCCTGATGTCTCCCCGCCCACGTCAACCTCTCCCCCCTCCACCCGGACACCACATGTCCTGCATGGGCTGCTGGAGGGACCCTCTCAGCTCTTCTGTCCCTGCCCTCCTGCTCCTGAGCCTGCAGATTCAGGGACGTGCCAGTCCCCACCCTGGGGTGCTCTAGTGTGTACTGTCGGCCCAGCCCCGTGCCAAGTGTATAGAGGGGCATTGGAGCACACGTCCAAACATCTCCCTCCAGGACTGTGCAGGACACTTCCCCAGGTGGCCTTGGACAGATCCAGCTCTCCCTGTTTTTAGCATGCGGTTCTCAACAATTTGGAAAGTGCTGGGAATGCGGTGCCCTGAGTTGGGGGGACCTGGCTGGACAGGCGGGCTCTGTTTCAGTCCCTTCTGGAAACAGAACACTGTAGCCGGGCAGAGCACATGGTCCTGGTGCAGGACCCATGTGGGCAGCTCATGGGGTTCTCCAACAAGGGAGGTGCACAGAGAAGAGCCTCCGTCCACCTGAGCTCTCCCGAGCCTCGTGTGATAGCCCGGCCCGGCTTTCCGCCACCCTGTCTACTGCATCCAACCTCCTTGCTCAGGAGGGCCCCTGCCCAGCTGTGTTCCTTCCTGCACGTTCCTTCCGGACTCTCTTCCTCAGCCGTGTCCTGCTGCCTCCTGGGCGCCCTTCCCCATCTCCCCTGCATGACCCCAGGGCTCCTTCCCTGAATGCCTGCGCAGTTCCTGCCCAGGGCCCCGCAGGTCCCCCAGTCCTCGGGAGCCCTGAGCAGCCCCCCACCTTCCTGCCTAGTACAGGGCCTGGAGGGTCACAGACACTCAGTACAGACTGAGCCCTCTCCGCTGCTCCCCTCTGTTCTCCCTCAGGGTCCAGCCCAAGGGCGCATGTGGCCGGGAGAGGCACTGAGTAGATGCACCCACAAGGGACATTTCCTGTTTCTCCTCTGACTTCTCACTGTGCAGAGAAGCACCTCACAGTATTCCCATTTGTTGATTCAACAAATTCAAACTGAGTCCCAACCACATGCAGGATATTGTTTTAGGCACGGAGCATAAAGTGGTGAATAAAGTGGAGTAGACATCCTCATGGAGTTTATGTTCTGGATAATGAGTAGGTTGACAAATTATTGGGATCATATTGAGCAAAGAAAGTGTCACAAGGATGAGAGAACCAGAGAATGTCATACAGTGACTGTGGCTGACAGGCTACTTGAGATCGGTGGGCCAGGAAGGCCTTCCTGAGAAAGTGACGTGAATGACTTCATGGAGTCAGCCCTGAGAATGTGTACAGGGGGAATCGCAGGCACAGGAAAGAGCATGTGCAAAGGCCCTGAGGTGCAAACCAGCTTAGCCTCTTTGAGAGATAGGAATCTCGCCAGAGTGGCTTGGTGAAGATTTTGGATCTTATTCTAAGAGGATGAAGCTTGGACCAGGGTGATGGGAGAGGGGGTGGTGGGAAGCGATGGATTCAGGATGTATTTGGGAGGTTAGTGCTAGGCAGGACTTGCTGATGCCTTGAGTGTAAAGGAATTGTAGATGGCATTGGGAGTTGAGCTGACTGGTATGAGCAGGATCATTGCTGAGACAAGGAAGGGTGGGTGAGGAGCGGACGTGAGGTGGGTGATGTGATGTTCTGATCGCGTTCAGTTGGAGAAGCAAAGTAGCCGTGTAAGGGGGCCTCAATTAGGCAGCTGGACATAAGAGCCTGGACTTCAAGGGCAAGGTCTGGCCTAGAGATTAGGATTTGAGAGTCCTGGAGAGAGGGACCAAGATCACCCTGCAGGAGGGTGGAGATTCAAGATCAGAGAGTGGAGCCCTGAAGACAGAGAGGGTGAGGAGGGGCCGGCCAGCGGCTGTGAGGTGGCCCTATAAGGGCACAACTTGCCATTTGATTTGGGAAAATGCAGATTGTGGAGACCTCCATAAGAATGCTCATTGTGGAAAGACAAGAAAGTGGGGTGAGTGGGGGGACTCCCGAGGGACTACGCTGGGCCAACAAGCAAAGCGGGGAGGCCGGGCTGCAGGGGACGGGGCGGAGCGGGTGTGGGTCTTGCAGACACTGACCCGGGTCGTGTGCTGAGGGGAACCGTCCTGTTGAGATGGGAGCCTGGCCATGGGGGGGGGGGCTTGGGGCATGGGATTAAGTCTACGTGGTGGGGGAGCACGTGGCGGTGGCCGGGTCTGTCCTCACAGTTTCCATCGGAATCCGGAGAAGTCAGACCGGGTGGTGGATTCGGGTGGTTCTTCTCCCCTGGAACCTCTCATCTTTCAGGGACTAGAGAAGTGAAGTCTGGTGATATGTGCGAGGGATGCCACCGTGCAAGGACATCCTGGGGTTTGAAAGGGAGCCTCCAGAGGGACAGGGCTTCTCCAGAGCTGCTCAGGGGCAGGGCGGGGCATGTGGCTGGGCGATTAGCCAGGGTGGGGTGCGGGTGGCAGAAAGAGACAATGAGAGCATCGTGTCCAGTCAGAGCCGGGAGGTGGCCGAGCTGGCAGAGGTGGGGATGGCTGGACCCCTCCAGGTGTTCCAGGAAACTCTGGGTCACAAGGCTCTAGCTGGGGGCCAGTGGGTGGGAGCAACCCGTGCTGCTGTGCAACGTCCCAGAACTGGGGAGGAACCCAAGACTCCAGAGTGTCCTGCTCCCTTGACCCCACTCAGATCGCTAGGCACGCCCCGGGCGCAGCGCACGGCCCCACGTGGCTCCTGTTCCCGCCCTCCCAGGTGGACGCCCAAGCCATCCCATGTCTGTCTCTGCCCCCCTTCTCCCCTGGATCCCCAACACACACACCACGTCTCCCTGCCCACTCCGGCCCCACTTACTGGTGGAAGAAGAGGCCCCGGTGCTGGCTGGGTCTCCACAGCTTCGCCTCTAAACAGAGGAGGAATCCCCCCATGGGGGAGGGGCTCAGCTTGAGACTTGTCCCCGGGGCCCATCTCTCGGCCCCCAGGACACTCAGGCCCGCCACCCATCCTCACCCCTCAGCCTCTCATCCCGGGGGACCCTCTGCCCCTCATCGTTACGCACACAGGCCCACAGAACAGAGCTCAGGGGGAGCGACTGTGCAGATGGGGCAACTGAGGCCCAGAGGGTGTGACTTGCCCAGGGTCCTGTAGCAGGTCAGGAGCAGCCAGGCTGGACCTCACATCACCTGTGACTTAGCAGAAGCGCAACCCGTGAGGGGCAGGAAGCGGGACAGGGGATGGTTTTGGAGGGCGACTCACCCTTCTTTGGGTGTTTTCGGTCCTGGTGCGGATGGCAAAAGGGGGCTGGCCGTGTCTTCCTCTGCAGGGATCAAGGGCACTAGGAGCACTGCTTCCTGGGAGTCGCCTTCGAGGTCGCCCGCACTGGGCTCTGGCGCAGCCTCCCGTGGTCTGATGTGTGGGACGCCCGCTTTCTTGGGGGCATCGTCTCCCAGCGGCTGTCCACAGCTGTCCATAGGGCAGGAAGACTCCGTCGGCTGCACCGTGTCTGACCCATCTGCTGCCGGGTGACCTGGGGACGGACACTCCAAGTCCTGCTGAAGACAGGATACGAGGGTTGAGGAGCCCCGTCCGGTTCCTAGGTGAGCCTCAACACCCAGGTGACCACGGGCCTGCTGCTGTCCAGGCACCGCAGGCCCCTCCAAGACAGCAGGAGGAAGAGGAAACTGGGGCCCAGGGAAGGCACGGCCACCCAAAGTCATGGTCCAAGCCTCTCTGCGGAGGGAGAAGGGGAGCCTGGGAAAGCCAGAAGATCCCCTTCAACACAGAGGTCTTGGGCACCGCGGCACACGCCTGAAACCCCAGCATCTCAGGAGGCCGGAGGATTCCCGGGCAACTTAGCTGTCTCAAAATAAAAAATCAAAAGGGCCAGGAGGTAGCTCAGTGGAGAGTGCCCCTGGGATCAATCCCCAGGACAAAGCAGAAACTCAAAAGCTCGATAATAAAACAAACCACTCAATTTTTAAGAGGAGTGGGAAACAGAAATGGGAAAGACAACCCTCAGAATGGAAGAAAAATCCCATTAATCGTACATTTGATAAGAATCAGTATCCAGGATTTAAAAAGAATGTTCATGACTCAACAATAAAATGACTAATAAATTTAAAATAACGAGATCCAGGTGCAATGGCGCACGCCTGTAATTCCAGTGGCTTGGGAGACTCAGGCAGGAGGATGGGAGTTCAAAGCCAGCCTCAGCACCTTAGTGAGACCCTGTCTCTAAAT